TCTATGAATGTCGCCCCTTCATCCCAGTAGACTCTGCGGTCCGTTCTCAATTCAGTAGTCCACTTCGTATATTATCCAAACACACCACTGGGCAGGGTTTTTGAAACGTGTCCGTTTCCACGGACGTCGTAGCATGAGTCGTATGACTTAAATCGGACATTTCACAAAGTTTCTTGACCATTTCTAGTAAACGCGAGTGCAAGCGGTTGCGAGATATTTTTTTACTCGAGTGCTTTAGCTCAAAGCAACCTTGTTTAATGGCAGTTAATAGTCTTTATTCCATTGCCGTTATTAGGCCTCGAGGCAGTCCGCGTGCTAGACCCCATTCCTCGTCACCCTGGTAGCACTGCGCTGGTAGTCAGCGGCTGCTTATACGTCAGATACGAGAGCCTGCATATCTTACACTATCCTTCGTCGAAGGCCATTCCACTATCCGCCACTTGTGGACATGTCGGGTATCCAGCAACTAAACTAACAGGGAGTCCTCCGCCGCATCCATTTGACAATATGTCCTTCAGATGAGTTACGACAGTTCACACCTCAGTCCCACAAACTAGACCTTATCCTGTCCATCTATATGGTCAATTGGCCACCTTGACATCATACTCGGTTAGGAACACTTTCGGGCGAAGGCGCACCTAGATATCCTCACCGTCAGTTCTATGCAGTCCATGGTCGAACAATCTCAATCAACGGATAAGAGGCACGCAATCAACTGTTCTAGCTCAAAACGCGATCAGAGAGACACAAAGTCGGAGAACGGAGCATACAAGAAGGATTCACAAGTTTTGCGTAATCTGCTTTCCTGCGTTCGATTCCGTCTATTGAGCCCCTGTGGTGAATAACAGCGTTAGATGGTGTACCGGCAAAAAATATCGATGATCGAGGCCTACTACCGCTCTTCTACTGGGCAAGTTCTGGTCCATAAGAATCCCTTTAAACCGTTCGCTATCCAAGTTGCATTCTTTACTAGAAGAAGGTAACTCTCGAGATGGATGGCTGTCATCTTGAAGTATACAGTTTCAAAAACTTCAAGGTAAGGCTGCTGTCGAATGGATAGAGTACGGACGACATGGTATCCCGACTCGATGTTGTTGGCCGACTTTTCTCAAACCTTAGAAAGTGCCTAATGACGCGATATCAGCACGGAGATTTATGTGTATCGTGCATTTGTTCGGTCGGTCCTGCTCTATGGCTATGAACACTGGCCTGTGCGCGATCCTGAGTGATAACTGGAGGTAGTTGATTACCACTGCTTGAGGACTATTCTTCGAGTTAAGTACGCCGACTCTTCTCAACTGATACAGACTGCACTCCCTGCCAAAAAATCGCACGGATATCCCAGGCCTTC